ATTCCCATTCTTATGCACAACTGTGTTACTCACACACAGTTGTGCAACTGGCAGATCAAGCTACTTGTTAAAAAATATTCGTTGGAACCACTTCACAATATAGCCTGAGAAGCGCTTTGAGACGTCTCGACAACACGATAAGGCACTATATCGAATGCAAGCATAATTGTTATTATAAAATCGTGCAATACTGGAAACAAACTCATCTCTCCGTCAAGTCATTGATATCAGAACCAAATTCTTAGCGCATTTCTGGGACCTCTGTGGCAATAAATATATTATCAACGTTGTGTTCAATTATTCAGTGATCACTGACTTATTAATAAGTAAAAATAATAGTAGATTAGCTTGACAATTCTATGTGTGTGTATAACGTACAGCAAGTGTAAATGTACATGTATATATGGGGAAAACCCTGCTAAAATGCCCTTGCATAGAGCTTTGCCTTTCTGATAGCCCGGTTCTACTGTGGACCTCTTCCAATGTTGATGAACCAGCTACCTGCGCGAAAGAAAAATAGCCAACTACTGGGTTGCCATCAATGTAGTTTCCTGTGCATTTCGGATGCACACAACATGCAGTAAGTGATGACAGGAGTGATCTGGAAGTCGGTCATTTCTTCACATCTCACTTAAAAACACAAGGCCTGGGTCATTGGACGGAACCAACCTCTTTAAATGTTTCTGTATATATTTAGAGTAAGTTTATCAATATTTCTGGCACAGTGTTTAGATGCACCGTATGAACACGGGAACAAATATAACGTCCGCAGTCCACAAACGATGCTGTTTTAGTCACCTATCTCGCTGCAATTCTTCAGAAGCAGGAACTTTTACTTAACTCAGGTGGATGTTAAAGATCAGGCAGCACTGTTTGGAAAGAGAAGGGAGCTTCTCCCAGCGTCCACCAAATAAAATTGGTCATTCACTTTGTAGCTGATTGTTGGACGTTGTTGTGCACAAATTGGCTGGTACATTCTCTGACAAAAACACAGTCAATATAACTCATAGTAAAATCCTGTGGAGCGCTTTGAGACGTCTCAACGATGTGATGAGGCTACATCAAATGTAAGGATTACTATTATTATTATATTAACTGCAGCCGGATGCATCCTCTCTATTTCTCCGGGAAATGAAGGTATTTTGTTTCATCATGTTTCACTGGCCGGTAATTTCTGACGGAAACCATTCAGGGGAGATTTGCCATTTAATGTCAATTAGGATAGTTCAGACGTCTTGTGGCTTAATCCCACACAGCACTCGTGTTTATTTATTGTGCGGGTGGACCATTAGCAAGGACTCATACTGTAATAATAGCTGCTAGCAAAATTTCCTTATATAATATTAATACTGATAATCCTTGCATTTGATATTTTGCCTTTCACGTCAGGAGGTCATCCCAAAATGCTTCACAGGACTCGCCAGGAAGATATGGTGTATATTTCTGTAGGTGAATGCGACAGCCAGTTTGCACCCAGCAATGTATGTATGAGGCAGAAGGGAAAAGAATAAAAGCGTAATTGTATATTTACCTCATCAGTAATGGACCCCCTGAATGTAATGGAACTTTTGATCAGCTCCCCATTACTGTCTGCTGTTTCACTTTGCTTCACACAGATCGGTGCTATTGAAACCAAACACATTTTGTTGGTGGTTGTTAAGAGACAAGGTCATTAATCATCAATTAAGGATCTTAACAGGCAACAAGGACACATATCCATTTCACTTCCGCAACATCCGAAACATTGCTCAGCATTCTAACGCGCTGCCGTTAACACTTTGACTGCTACTAACCCTTTCGTTGCTGCCTCGCTGCAATGGCAGTTTAACCCCGATGGTTCCTTCAACAGCTCGTGTAAATTCCTTCACGCCCTTGTATCCTCCCTGCTACTTTGGACGCCACTGCTCTACCATCGAGTGCTGAGCATTCTGGCACAACAACAACTTGCACTTATATAGCACCCTCCATGCAGGGTAGCATCTCGGAGCCCAAGCATCTACGTCCCTAACCCAGACGTCCAAACCCTGCCAATGTGAAGCGCTCCAAGACATTATCCTACGTGAAAGGCATTGAGTACATGTAAAGACTAACTTGATCAACTTCTTGTCACAGAGAGCATCTCTACAGAGTGCTTGGACCTGGTGTTGGGGCGAATGGGTTGTGCCTGAGCCAGAAAGCTCAGATGACCAGAGCAATGGATCTGGTCCCATTTTCTAGAGATTATTGTCAAGTCAAAGGTCCTTGTGCTCACTTTCGAAGCGCTCTATGGTCTTGCCCCTCCCTACTGCCGCATCCTAGTAACACCTTACCAAAGTGTCCACTCCCTCCGCTTGGCAGGCACCAGCCTGCTCCATATCCCCTGCCCTGGCCACCCCACCATCGTCGGTTAGGACCTTCAGCCTTTCTGCCCCCACCCTCTGTTGTTGTTGTTGTTGGGTCAACACAAGTTTGCACGATGCTTGAGGATCCCTCCCACAAGCTGGGAGAACTTTACATGATTTTTGTTCATTAAGGTGAAAAGGGTGTGGAAAGAAGTACTCTGTGTTGAAATGACGTTTTCTGGATGTGACACGAGGGATATTGGCCACCCTTTATCTGCATTTAATGCATTTGTGTGTGGAAGATCCCACTCTACAGTCAGGAGCAAACCCTCACTTTGTTTTCTTTGGATGACACCGTGGAGTCCTGTAGCTCAGTGGTTAGAGAACTCGCTTTGTAAGCGAGAGACCTGAGTTCAATTCCAGGCAGAGGGCGAAACCTTGGGCAAGTTTCCTTACTCCACACGTCTAATAATAATCCCTCCAAAACCAAAAACAATAATAAATTAGTCATTTTCAATCTACGACTGTTTGTGGGACATTGCTGTGCGCAATTGGCTGCCGCGTTCGCCCACAAATATACAGTCAATTCACTTTATAGTATATTCTGTGAAGCGCTTTGGGACGTCCTCCCAACGTGAAAAGCGCTATATCAAATGCAAGGATTATTATTATTATTTTAACTCACTGCACTTGGCAATCGGTCATCATTAATGTCTGCTACATTGAAACAAACCCAACTTTTACTTCGTGTGTGTGTGTGTGTGCGCGCGTGTGTTTGGGGAGACGTCTCAAAGTGCTTCACAGAATATACTATAAAGTGTAGTGACTGTGGGCGAAATTCAACTGGTTCTTTCTCTCATTTCAGCTCCATCCACCTCCCTTTCAAAACCTCCTTTCTGCTGCTGCCGTGCCTTTTCTAGGTGTAAAAGGGAACCGGGGGTCAAAGGGCATTGTGCCCTCTACAAAGTCTGGTCATTTCCATCCTTTCTCCTTCTGTCAGTCGTGATGTCTTCCCCAGGGGATCGGCTCCCTGACCTCTCCTGGACTGTGACGCCTTCTAAACCGCTCCAGCCGACTGCCTGACAGGGTTGCCCTGGCTTTTACCCCGAGACTCTCCCTTTAATACAAATCCCTCTTTCTCACTCGTTGGACGTTGCCAGCAAGTCCCACTCGTTCACAGCGTCTCCACTTCAGGATGTCTATTTGGGTGTAAATCCATTTCACAGGGACGAATGTTTTCTGTCTCTCTCTCTCTCTCTCTCTCCCTCCCCCCCCCCTCGGGCTCCAGAATATAAGGTCAGCTGTTGACCTCTGACTTGGAGGGAAGAGATGGGGGTGGGTTTATTTAGATGGAGTCATAGAGCAGGGCTCTGATTTCTGACGAGCTGAAGCTCGCACACTCTTCTCCCTCTCGCAAAGGAGGGTCCCTTTTGACAAAGTCAAAAAAGATCCCCGTTGCACGCAAACATTCACTGAAAGGATCTTATTTTACCCCCTATCATTGCAGGAAGCAGTTCTGTCCATCCCAAGTCCCAGCTTCGCAGCTGTTTATAAACCGGCCTGTGTGAAAATGGCAAGGTGGCTTTAACGGCAGCCAGAGCAGAAGAGGCACTTAATAAAGATGGCCTCCGTCAGTGGCAGGTTGAGCTGCTCAAAGTGGGAAACCATTCCCCTCGGGAAAGCCAATTCCACTGCCATTCACCTACACGAGCTTCCCACGGTTTATTGGGGAAGGACGAGCAAAGCCACGCAGACATTTCAAAGCTCCAGCTACACCCTCAGTCATTCTAGAGACTTCACCCCCCCCCCCCCCCCCACCCGCCACCCTTTCATTACCTTCCCAATGGCTCTGGGGAAGTAACTTTCACCAGTATTGATCTACGAAAGGAAAATTGTCCAAATCGCTGCATTTACTAACAAGAGCAATTTCAGCGCCCAGCTCCACCCCACCCCCAACCCCACACACACTCCTTTTCTTTTGTGAAGATGATGATGTGTTCAATCCTCTGTCCCTGCCTTTCCCATTTTTGCTCAGTTTGATAACCTGGCGAGTCGAAAATAAAGCTAGCGGGGAATCATGAGTCAGAAAGGCTCCTGCTTTGTGACCAACCTTGTTGATCCTTTCTCCTGTGTGAAATAAATTGGTCCTCACGTTTTGATTTTGCATTTGACACTGTGCCTCAAACTGATTCCCCACATTTACTGTAAAGTGGAATGACTGTATTTTGTGGGCAAAAGCAGTGGGCAATTTGCGCACAGCAACATCTCGCAAACAGCCAAGAAGTGAATCACCGATTCTCTCCAGGTATTGTCATCGGGACACTGGGAAAAACTCCCTTTCTCTTTCCGAGAGATCTTTAACATCCACCCGAACCAACAGGCAGGACATCGGCTAGTGTCTCATCCGAAGGAGGCACCTCAGACAATGCAACACTGCGCTGGATCATCCTAATATGGATCTTAATATTAAGATCATCGGTATATGTGTTTGGGTGTGTTTTTTTTTACAAGCGCAGTACGCAGACGACATTTAGGTCCCGATTAAGTTAAAGTAACAGCCTTTTGCAGCATTCACTGTGTCCCCCCCCATCGCGCTTCACTGCTGGTGAGGGTTGTCGCCTGTGTTTTCTTTGCTGCGTGTAATCTTTTTGCGGTGTTTGTGTCTTTGTCGCTTACCAGCTTCTGTCAATGTGGTGCTGCGCGAAAGCCAAGCCGTGGCCAAGGAACGAGAGGCTGAGGACCGGCCTGACCGATGTGCCTGTGAGAAGTCTGACAGTCCAGGTGAGAGCCATTCGCAGATAGAGATGGAACTTACAGTGACAAACGTGACGTCCTGCACCCTGACACCCTCCCATTTCAAAGGCCCCACAGCAGCTCACATCACAATCAAAGCACAACAACAACCACAACAAATTACATTTGCACAGCGCCTTTCACGTCGGGAGGACTTCCCAAGTCGCTCAAAGTAAACAGAGACCTGCAGCACAAGAGCCTAGCCATTTCACCAGCAATATTTCAAATTAACTGCACCGTTTGCTCCCGATTTTTTTTTGAAAGAAAAATACAATCCCTTCTGTCTTTAACATTTATTGCTTCTAACAACACGTTGCCTTCGTGCTTAACTGCTGTTGCGATTCGTGTTGCGATTGTCTGCTTGATATTTTCCTGGCTTGCTTTCTCTGGTTTCTGGGAACCTCTGCATGGCTCTGTGTGTTGATCCATGTATCATATATATATATATATATATATATATTTGATTCATCCTCTCTGAGGCCTGTCAGCTCAGCTAAGAGATTTCCAAATCTTGCAGCCGGCTCTGACAGGGGGCAGCTGCAAACAGTCCCCTGATCCATCCCATAGGAGCGCTGCTGAGATTTAATTTTCAATGAAAGGGTGCAGTTTGAAATCCATGTCAGGTCCCCTAGGTCATCTGCAAGTCCAGATTGGACCCATGACAGCAGGATTATCTTTCAGTGTGCTCCACTCAACCTAGATTCCTTGGGAGTTTGACTGCTGTCTTGCTCTTGAATTTCAGCCTATTTGTCTGCGCTCTGCTATCGCTCTAACCCCAGCGGTGGGGGTGTGGTGGGGGGGAGTTGGGTTGGTGAGGGTTGAGTGGGTCGGGGTGGGGGGGGCGGTGGGTTTCGGAGGGGGAATCTGAATCAACAGCCACGATGGCAGGATACGTTGCTTCCCCCCCCTGGCATTGGCCCCATCGTTTGCTCGTTCGTTCGATGGCGTAGTAACGCGATGATTTTGAGAGAGCGAAAGATAACGTCTCACCTAACATTGATGCCAGGAGGGGGTGCGGGTTGTGGGGGAGGGAGGGCGGGCGGGAGGGGTGGGGGGGCCGTCAGGTTCTCGATCGGAAGAGAGAAAAAAAATAATTAGTGCTTTCTTTGTCTGTCTGTCTGTCTGTCTGTGTGTGTGTGTGTGTGTGTGTGTCTTTCTCTCTGTCTCCCTCCCCTCTTTCTCGCAAGCAGCCTATTTCCCTTCATCTGAAAAACGTCTCGCCTGGTAAGACTGCTCTCTCTCTCTCTCTCTCTCTCTCTCGATCGAACCTCTTGAGATTGCAACAGTCCTTTCGCTGCTTCCCCACAGAGAATACGCGGCTCGGTTTCCATGGCTACGTCGCGCTGGTCCAAGAATTGCCTGTATTGATCCGTGGGCAGGCGGGAAGAACAGTGACCGTGTCGTGGGTGAGCGGTATGGCAAATGGCCAGAGATGTAGCGGTCAGGGGAGAAATTAGCGGATGAAAAAAACACTCGGCCGGGAGAGGAAAAGGAACCCTTTGCTTTCTCCTCGCCCCTATTTTTTTTGTGGTTCTCTTGCCTTCCACGCTGTCGGTCATCCTCCGCACCTTGTCTTCCTTAGCCCCTCGCTCACCCGCCGCCCCCCCCCCCCCCCACACCCGCCCACCCCCTTATTCTTTTCTTTATTTTTTTTCCCCCCCCCGACGCAAACTCAAAGAAACTTGTTAAGTCACTTGTCATGTCAAATCTTCAGCATCTGCCCTGACACAGCTGTCAGGGTTCCAGCTCGGCACATTCAGCGATGTGAAACAAAGAGCGAAGGGCATGAATTATTTATCGTTCCTTCCTCGGCCTGGAATTCTGCTGGAGGAAATTAAGATAACTTTTTCGGGAACCAAGTGGAGGGGCGCGGGGAACTGGGTGCGGGGTGGCAGTCGTTCCCGGGTGACGGAGCATCCGTGTTGACCGTTTAGCTCTCGGAGAGGCAGTAAGGGAGAGAGAGAGAGAGAGGGAGAGAGAGAGCGCGTGAGAGAATAATGATAATAATCCTTCCGTTCGATAGAGATGTCTCAAAGCGCTTCACAGAATATATTGTCAAGTGGAGCGACTGTGTATTCTGTGGGTAAAATACGGGAGCTGATTAGTGGGTGGGGGGGGGGGGGGGGCAGAGTAGCTGAAAGAGGAACGTAAAGCAGAACCCCCCCCACTCCCTCACCCTCCCAAAATAGAGAGTCAGTGAGATTAAAACTCCCCAAGTTATGCAACGCAGAGCAGGAAGTATAAATCTAACCTCCCGGCCCCACATATGCACTCCCGCTGTGATTTATACTTTACCAGGTCACTTAAACGCTGCGCTGTTGCACAACATGAAAGCTGCTTTCACCTGTAAACGCTGGAACATAGCAGTGTAGTTCCTGCTGCTGGGAAGTTGTCATGCTTGGGTTGATGCAATGCCTGTGGTACAGGACTGAAACGAACGTCTGAAATATTGCAACGACGTGCGAGCTCTAAGGTACTATTCGTCTCAAACGGGCCATCGCTGTGCTTCAATTGGCTGCCACGCTCACCTATAAAATACACAGTCACTATGATTCACAGTCCATCCCGCGAAGCGTTTTGAGATGCCCCCACCCCCCCTCCCCACGCCCAACTGATTGAACTGCAAAATACAGTCACTACAGTTACCGCAATTCCCATTGAATCCCGTGAAGCTCTCTGAGACATCCTCCCAAGTTTACCGGGATTATTAAATGCAAGTTACGAGAGCTTTAATGATAATAATGTAGAATTCACCTTTGATTGATTTATCTCTCGCCACCCACCCCCCCCCCCCCCCCACCTCCCTCCCTCGTGTCATTACAGACACATTACCAGTATCAGTCACTAGGAGGTGCCCAAGTGCAGTCCGAGCTTGCCAATCTCCTCTCTCTCTCTCGCTCCTGTGAGAAATGCCCCCCAGGAACTGATTTGTGCTTCTTCCTCGCCCAGAGATTGGAAAAAAAACTTACCACGTGGGAAACCATGGTCACAAGCGATTATCTTGCCATTCTCTGGCACTGGACCATTGAGCTACACCTCTGCTCTCTCTCCTCTCTCCCCCACCTCTTCTCTCTCCCTCTCTATCCACGCGCTCTCTCTCTTTCTCTCTTTCACTGCAAGCTGCAGTGTTATAGCTATCATCTTCTATTGATCGCCAGCAGAAAAGATCCACCGAGCTGCAGTGCGGTTTAATTGCAAATGATAATACTCTACACAATATTAGACCGCATGTCTTGAATCTGCTTTTTTTTAATGATTTTTAAGCTGCGTGACTCTTTAGCGCTAACATTGAATACATCGGGGGGGGGGGGGGTGGGGGGGTGTAACATGCAATATTTCCTAATGGATTTCTTAATAAAAATGTCCATTTAAATTAAAAAAATGAACACTTCACAAGACGTCACAGCGCAGGCTGAGGTTTTACAAGTTGGATCAGCGCACATTTCTTCAGCGTGTTCAACTTCCAAAATTGACGACACAAGATCTCAGACGAGAAATGATCAGAACTTTGATAATTGCACATTTCTTATGACGCAATAAGAATATTATGATCAGAATTTTGATAATTGCACATTTCTTATTATGCAATAAGAATATTATACATTATTATATTATTTCTTTTATTACAAAGCCTCACAAGTTAGACACCCCCCACTAACCTCCCTCAACACCCACCCACCAACCCCCCCGCACCCCCCCACCTTTCATTGTCTCTCTATTCGTAGCCATGCGCGTCTGTTTCAAACCCCCCCACCCCCGACCACCGAGTTGAAATTGCTTCCATCAAAGGTGCTTATGTCAGACGGAGCATGCTTCAAAAGGCATTTTTGTGCTGAGCGCTTTCATGGCTCTGCAAGACGTATCATTCATTATTGTAATGACATCAGGAGAACGGAAATCTCAGCAACAGCCGAAACTCCAGGGCAGTTCCGCGCTCTGGTGATAGGTCCTTCTGTTGTCATGGTATTGTTCCTACGGGCAGCCATCAGCTTTGACTGATCAGGCTCTTGATCACACTCGATCATAGCCTCGCCATCCTCAGACAATGTTTTGATGATTCGACGCACCTTTAGTGTCACTGAACAGACGTGCGCCAGCTCTGTTTGTGGGTTCAGTTTGCAAAGTAGCCCCCCGAAAAGTTACAATCAGCCGCAACAACAATATATATTTACATCGAGAGCCTTTCCCGTCGGGAGGATGTCCCAAAGCACTATACACAGCTCACTGTGAACACGAGCTCTGGGTTGGGGTGAGGGTGGGGGGAGCCGAAGAGGGGAAGAGGTGAGAAAAGAGTGAAGGTGGGCTTCGGAGGGAGGGAGAGAGAGAGAGAAAAGATACCAGTAAAAAAATTAGTTCCTGATTGAACCTGGGGATTAAATTTATAGATAGGACATGCATTGATATGTTTCATATCCAAAAAAAGTAAAGCAACTTGGAAGTTGGGAGGAGGATTAACCTGTGGTTGCCTGGAATATACCAACCTTTGGTTGATGCGTTCTTTATAATGGGATGTTCCCTTGTAAACGAGCCTTGTCAAAGGTTAGCCGTAATACCCATTCGTCCCCACGGGTCAGTAAATTTACCAGCAAGAGGTGGGGTGGGGGTAACCCCTAGAGGGATATCAGTGTTCACATTCCGAACATTAAAATGATGAGTAATAATTAAGATTGTTAAAGAAAATCTGAGCGTTGAGATTTCTTATTAATGTCATTTATTTTACGAGGCGCACCAGATAATTGAGTTTGATGATTTAGTGTCAACCCGACTCTGACAGCGAATGAACCAAAATGGGAAAGTTTCCCTTTCCAGATCCTGTGGCTTTGACGATGTTTGAAAGCCGCTGACGGGATTCTCCCCCGATACGATCGCGCGTCAAACGGAGGAATTTCAGTCTCATTGGGGTTCTCTCCCTCGAATGCTGCACTGCGAGGGGGATTCGCGCTGTGTGTAGAAAACGCCCGAGTCCGCTCCATCTCAAGAGATCTGCG